CCCTTGGGCCACGTCCTCACGCCCGCCCCCCGCACCAACGCCCGCCCCCGCACAGCCCCGCCCCCTGCCGTCCTCCGGGCCTGAGTCCAGCCCCACCCCTGCTGCCTGCAGCTTCTCCTGCACCGTCTTCACTTTTGGCCAGACCGGCTCCGGGAAGACCTACACCCTGACCGGACCTCCTCCCCAGGTGGGCCCAGCACTAGCGGAGCCCCCACGAGTCAGAGGTCGGTGGGCGGGAAGCTCTGGGGAGCCGCAGGCGGCGCAGACTTCCAGAAGGATGGGGCTTAGAACGTTACAGCCCAGCCCATTTGTTTGTAGACAGGAAAACTGAAGATCAGAGAAGTGATGGGGCTTGGCCAATATAGAGCACCTGGGTTCAAACTGTGTTCCCTTTACTTACTAGCTCTCAGTTTCTTCATCTGTAACATGAAAGTGATAGTACTGACTGAGAATTAAATGAGATGTGCGGGAACTTGGTACTGTGCTCTACGAAGGGTAGTTATAACTGTGGCGGTGGTGATGGCGGTAACCCAGCCCCAGGCTCAGCTGTTTTTGCCCCCAGGGGGAAGGGGTGCCTGTACCCCCCAGCCTGGCTGGCATCATGCAAAGGACCTTCGCCTGGCTGTTAGACCGCGTGCAACACCTGGGTGCCCCTGTCACTCTCCGTGCTTCCTATCTGGAGATCTACAATGAGCAGGTGGGGGACTGAGATGAATAGAGAGACTGCCCACAGGAAAAAGAGGCATTTCTTTTCAAGGAGCCTGGGTCAAGGGGCAGAATGGAGGAGGGGAGACTGTTGACCACAAAGTTTGGGGGTGGATGGAACAAGGACTCAGAGAGGGCCCCTCCTTTACCTTCCACCTCATCTCTTAGGTTCGAGACTTGCTGAGCCTGGGGTCTCTTCGGCCCCTCCCTGTTCGCTGGAACAAGACGCGGGGCTTCTATGTGGAGCAGCTACGCGTGGTGGAGTTTGGGAGTCTGGGGACTCTGATGGAACTTCTGCAAATGGGTGCGTGCTACCTTAGGGGAGCTTTGAGGTTTGAGGGATGCCTTGTTTTTCAGCTATTCACTGAGTGCCCTCAGGGCCCCGGGCTGGAGCTGTGGGTTCAGAGATGACCTTTGTGGGAGAAAGGGGCCAGCAAACCAACAATTCAGACACAGCGCAAGGGTGTTCCCCACCCCACCCCCCAGGCCTGCTGATTTTGCCTTCCAGACTCTTTTCCCACCCTTCCTCTCCAGCCCTGGGCTTCTGCCTCAGTCTGGCCTCAGTTTTACCTCCTGGAGGGATCTCTCCATCTCAAGGCCCTCCCTTTTCAGTCCGTGCTTCTTCATGTAGCAAACCACATCCCTCTTCCCCTCTACACCTTTCCCGTGCCCTGAGAGTAACAGTCATACTTCTTAGCCTAGCCTAAAGGCCCTTCTGTTCCAGGCTCACTCATTCATTCCTTCATTCATCAGATACTTACTGAGCACCCACCCTGTGGCTGGCATTGGGGGCACTGAGGTTCTAGGTTCTAGCTGAGCATTATGCCATGCCTCCCAGCTGATCTCTCTGCCTGAGTTTCTCTCCATCCACACAGCAGTGGGAGAGATGATAATAAAATGTGAGTCAGACTGACATTCTTCCACTCAATTCTCTCCAGCCCCCTTTCATCTATTCCTACTAGAGCTGGACCCAATATGCATCATTCTCCTGCCTCTGTGCCTCTGCATGAGCCGGCCCTCTACCTGGATGTCTTTGCTCCTTTTTCTTCATTGGTGACCACATGCCCTTCCTTGCAGGTCCAGCTCCGTATATTTTTCCCCTCTAGGTCTTAGCCGTCGAAGGAGCTCAGCTCACACCCTGAACCAGGCCTCCAGCCGAAGCCATGCCCTGCTCACGCTCTACATCAGCCACCAAACTGTGAGTGCCCCAGCTTGGGGATGGAGGTGGCCCCGCTTCACCCAGCAAGGGTCAACCTCTGGGGGTGTAAACCATCTTGGGCGTGCACAGGAGGTAACGGTGGAAACCCTTTGCCTTGTGGCTTTGATGGGGACAGCCTCTCCCAAGTTTCCATCAAGCCCTGTTCCCCAACCCCAGCAGATGCCTCCTGTGGAACCCGGGGGACCCCCTACAGGTGGGAAGCTGTGCTTTGTGGACCTGGCCGGCAGTGAGAAGGTGACGACCACAGGATCCCGTGGGGAACTGATGCTTGAGGCTAACAGCATCAACCGCAGCCTACTGGCCCTGGGTGAGATCTGGGGCCAGCTGGACTGTTTCCCTGAGTCCCTCATCTGTGCCTTACACATAGCTGTCCACATGGGGAAGCCAGAGGAGGTCCAGTGCACAGAGGAGAGTTAAAGAGCTGTGATCCAGAAGCCACAGGCCTCCTCTGGCCTCAGCTTGCTGTTGTCTCATACTTTCCCTCTTGGAACTTTGTTTATGGATCTCTCAACCCTGAGAAGACAGTTACATTCTAATTGGGAAGGTAGAAGCCCTCAAGTGCAGAGTGTGAGCCCTCAGACATTCAACCTGTCCCTTTTGGCATTTGGGAAGGCTGAAGTCCTGTGAGGGGAGGGGCACTAACTTATCTTCCCACCTCCCCACCTGCCAGGTCATTGGGCCTTGAGTCCTTAACAGCTGGGGCCTCGGCCTTGCTCTGTGCACTCTTGGGGAGATGCTCAGGAATGCCTCTTCATTCCGTTTATTAGTCAGACATTTCCTGAGCCCCTGCCAAGTGCCAGGCCCTTTGGTGGGCACTGGTGATCAGGGATGGACAGGGTCATCTCTGCCCTCCAGGAGACCCATTCTGGTGGCAGAGGCCCACCTGAGTGAGCAACGAGATGATGTGGAAAGAGGCATTTGAGAGACATAGGCCTGGACGGCCCAGCTGGATGGCCTTGGGCAAGGGGGGGTAACTATGCTGGACCTTGCTTTCCCCACCCAGGTCACTGCATCTCCCTGCTGCTGGACCCCCAGCGGAAACAGAGCCACATCCCCTTCCGGGACAGCAAGCTCACCAAGCTGCTGGCGGATTCACTGGGGGGGCGCGGGGTCACCCTTATGGTACTAGAGTGGGGCTGGCAGGGAGGGTGGAGTCCTGAGGGAGGGCTCCAGGAGAGGAACACTCAGGGGCAGTCCTCCCCAGGTGGCCTGCGTGTCCCCCTCAGCCCAGTGCCTTCCTGAGACTCTCAGCACCCTGCGGTATGCAAGCCGAGCTCAGCGAGTCACCACTCGGCCCCAGGCCCCTAGGGTAAGCAGAGAGATGCAGGCAGAGGGATGGGCAGGGAAGATGGTGGGGGATCAGGCAATAGTTGGAGGCTGAGTTGGCGTCATAGTTGAAGTCTGGGACTGAGTCAGAACTGGAATTACAGTTGGAATCTTGATGATGGCACATGGTTGGGTACGGTGGGGCCGAGTCATGGTCAGGGTTACTGCAGGTCTAGGGTGGAGTCTGATCCGGGCTGTAATTCAGAGTCTAGCTGACATCCCAGTTAGTATCATGATTAAGTCTGAGTTGAGTTGGAGTTTGTTGTGAGGTCTCGTCTGGGGTCAGAATCTGGGCCAAAGTTTGAACAGAACTGAGTTTGGGGTTGGACGTCAGGGTCCAGCTTAGAGCGGGCCTAGCAGGCATGCAGCTGAGGCCACGTGGCACTCTGATGCAGCTAGGACAAGGTGCCCCCTCAGGTGGATGCAGCCTTGGGCCTGGATTCAAAGCTGGCCAGTGAAGTATGGGCTGAATTGTAGGCCCCGCTCACTGCCCACCCCTGGAGCCCTCATGCAGTGCCAGTCATGTATGACCATAAACAGCAGCCCTGGGTCTCTTTCTCTGCAGTCCCCTGTGGCAAAGCCACCCCGGCATTTGGAGCCTGAGCTATTGCAGCTCCAGGAGGAGAACCGTCTCCTTCGGTCTCAGTTGCGTCAAATGGACCCCAAGGGTATGATGTCCCCGGGGGCGGGGGCAGGATGAGCATAGGGGCTGGGGCTCCTGGGGCTCCAGCCACCTCCCTCTTCCCTGCAGCCTCTGGGCTCAGTGGGGCCCGGGTGGCCTGGGCCCAGCGGAACCTCTACGGGATGCTACAGGAGTTCATGCTGGAGAATGAGAGGCTCAGGTAGGGCCCCGCCACCCACTGCGGGGCTGCTTCTGCCAAGCTGCCTCCCCTCCCTGGTCTCTGGCTCCCCTGCTGTCCCCACCTGCCTCCTGGGGCTTGTGCTATGCTGCTGTGTGGAGGGGCCGACCGACACTCCCCAGCCCTGCCTCCTGTCACCTTCCTGGGGCCTGCTCTTCCCAGGAAAGAAAAGAGCCAGCTGCAGAGCAGCCGGGACCTGGCCCGTGATGAGCAGCGCATCCTGGCCCACCAGGTCCAGGACCTGGAGCGGTGAGCACAGCTGCCGGCTGGAGACTGGCCTTGGGACGGAGGGCAGGTGGGAAAGGGCTCAGTGAAATAGTTAGGTCTGACCTCTGGATCAAGACCCTTGGGTTCAGATTCCAGCTCTGCCACCTACCAGCCGTGTGACCTTGGGTGAGTCATTTATCCTCTCACTGCCTGAGTTTCCTCTTCTTTAAAATGGGAATGATATAGTGCCTACCGTCTTGGGTTGTTTTAAAGTTGAGATTGAGTGAGTTCTTATGTAAAGCATTGGGAACAGTGCCCAGCATATGGAAAGCACTCCATGAGGGTTTGTGACAAGTGGGGACTTGGGTGCTAGCCTGGTGGTAGCACTGAGGGCTGCAGGCAGACCCCATTGTTCTTTCTAGGCGCCTCTTCTCTGCCTGCTACTTTCACCAGTCAGGCCCTGGCCCAGCCCCACCGTGTCCCTGTGTGATGGCGCCACTTCCCCTCTGCCACGTGAGTCTCTGCCCAGCCTGCAGAGGGGAGGAGCAGGGATGTCACAAAGCCTCTGACGTGACCTCTTGCAGGCCCTGCCATCCCTCTGCTCCTGCCCCTGCTGCCACCTCTGTCCTCTGTGCCGAGCACCACTGGCCCACTGGGCCTGCCCACGGAGGGAGCTCCACCTGCCACAGGTAGGAAAAGTCGAGGTCGAGGGCGGGGAGGCTGGGAGATCCAGAGACCTAGATCCAGGGGGTCTGCAGTCTGGGAGGCTCCAGGACGGGTCAAGGTGGGGAGTGGCTGGCTTTGAGTTCCTTCTGCCCAAGTTTCAAAATAGCTGTTTACCTCGCCTCCCCTCTTCCTCTCCATCCTGCCTTCTTTCAGGGACTCACTCTGCCGTTTGCTTATTTATTCACTCACTTACATGGCACTCATTTAGGCATTTACTTAATCACGTGTTCACTTACTCATTCAACAACTCTCCCCTAAGCTCCTTGCTTTGTGCTGGCCCCTGCTCTGGGCACTGAGGATTTATAGACCAGACATGGTTCCTGCCCTTAAGTGGAGTTCCTAGTCTCCAGAGAGGACATCACCAGGGCCACCCACTGCCCACAGGAAAAGTGACCACAGCCCCGTCCCTTTAGGCCCGCCTGACATTCTTAGTGCCCCATGGGGCAGGTGTGGCAGGGATGGTGGTATCATGTTTGGCACCAGGGATGTGGGGTGCAGAGAGGCAGGGCTGAGGGCACCCAGTGTGGGCTCTGGTCTTTCCTGCAGGTGTTTGGCCCTCAGGCCCCAGGTGATGTGCCCCTGTCTGCCCGGCCTCCACCATGGGCACCCCCACGCAGCCCTGGCTCTGCCAACTACTTGAGAGAGAGGTGGGCCCAGCCCTCGGTTACTGGGGTCGGGGAGCAAGAGGCCTGGGAACTTGAAGGCTCACCTTCTGCCACCCAACTCACTCTGGCCCAGGAGTCACAGCCACTGGACTCAGACCCAAGTCCTGGCAGAGATGCTGACCAAGGAAGAGGTGGTACCCTCTGCGCCCCCCATGCCCATGGGGCCCCTCAACACGTCGCCAGTGCTGAGAGGTGAAGAAGGGAGTGAGGGAGGGGCCCCCAGTGTTTTCTGTGAGCGTGGGCCAGAACCCACTTTCTCCAAACCTTAGTCTTCCCGTCTCTGAAATAGAGGGCATGTTAAAAGGTGAGAATTCTAAGATCTTTCTAGTTCCCCAACTTGGAATTCTCTTCCTAGGGCCACCTGCATTCCCAGATGTGTGCTGGAGCCCATGGTGTACATGGCAGTGGGGATGGGAGTGGGTACCACCTGAGGCTTCCTCAGAGGATGTTGGGACCCTGTTGGGACCCTGGGTAGGGAAGGGCCCAGAGGAGTACTGGCCTCAAATCTCACCGTGCCCCTTAGGTGGGGCCACAGTTCCAAACCTGGCCCGGAGACTGGAGGCCCTCAGAGACCAAATCGGCAGCTCCCTGAGACGTGGCCGGAGCCAGCCACCCCCCAGTGAGGGCACACGGAGCCCTAGCCGCGTCCTCCCTCCCTGCTGAGGGCAAGCTGGGGGACCCAGGAGACCACCATGTGACCGTGGACTGGGCTTTGCTCTCCTGGGCTTCAGTCTCCCCGTCTGTTAAATGGGGTTGCAGCTGCTGCTCCAGTCTGTACCTGGGCTGGGCAGAGGACAGTTCCTGAGGGACAGAGGTGGGGGCTGGTGGGAAAATTTGAGGGAGCAAAGGGAGAGTGCCACCCCAGACTAGGAGAAATGAGACTGGATTCAGGGGAAACCAGGCAGCCAGTGATGAAATATACAAATAAAGAGAAGCATCATCTCCAAGTCTGGTTGGTTCTGTCCTCTGACTAGTCAGTTACTTCCCTGTGGGGGTATCCCAGAGAGGAGGGGCTTTTGGTGGAGTCTGAGCGAGAGGAGGCAAGGACTCCGCCTTCCCCTTCTGATCTGGAATATTCCAGGTTCCCATTTCCTTTTCTGTATTATACAAGTTTTAATTGAACAACTACTACATGCCACTGGGCAGGCATGGGGAGACTGAATGGTGAGCATCTCCATGAAGGGGATCTGGGGAAAACTGACTTGGCTTTATGCCAGGGCAAGTGGTGGACCGAGGGGCTCGTACTCTGTGCCAGCTGCATGTGTCCTGGTGCTGTGGCTCTGTGACCCTAGGCGAGCCCAGCACCCTCCCTGGACCACTTTCTGGTTTTCAGTCAATTAGATGGAGTACATGGCCTGTTCTGTTGAACTCTGATGAGGGTCAAGGAGTTTAGGACTATCATGATTCCCAGCACAGTGCCCAGTAGGATGCAGTGGGTCTACAGTTTGGGGTAAGGCCAGACGTGATATGAGAAATTGGGGGTGCAAGTGGACGGACTTTAATACGGAAAGAGCCATGAGGTTAACCTAACTCTCCCATTTTATAGTTAGGGAGACTGAGACCCACATGGCTCATTCTTTTGTTTGTTCATACATTCACTCGCTCATTCATTCAACAAACACCATTGGCATCAACTGCAAATCAAAGTGGCAAAGAAGACTGTTAAGGGGCAAGCTGACTTTGCCCAGGAAGCTCACAGTCTGGTAGGGGACAAACAGACATTTCCAGTCTCACACATGTGCTTTGATGGGGTAAGCCCAGGGCACTGAAGGCATGGAGGGTCACCCAATCAAAAATTGCTGAGAGGGTCAGGGATGGTTCGCCAACGAGAGCCATAATTAAGGCTCAGAGGGTAAACAGCAGTTGGCCCAGGGCAGGTGGAGGGGCTGCGGAGGCAAAGGCTCATTGACCTCTGGGTTCCCAAGGTTGTCAGGGCCAGGAAGTGCATGGCCTTGTCAGCCACATCAGGAGTTGGGGTTTGTCCCTAGGGCAGGGGGAACCGTGGAAGGGTCTTGAGGAGTCACCACTTAGATTTGCACTTATGTTATGCTGGCCACCCTAGCAGGTGGACTGACTGGTGAGGATGAGCTGGAGGCAGGAGACCAGTGAAATGACCAGTGCAGGGCAGATGAGACACCTCCATCAGCGGTACCTGAGCTAGCCTCGGGCTGGGCATCCCTGAGATCTGGATGCTGGGCTCAGGCAAGGCTCCAGGTAGACCAGCCTCAGCCAGTGGCCGGAGGGCAAGCCAGGGAGCTGCAGGAGAAGACAGGGGAGCATGGGGACACCCCTGGGCAGGGGTCCCAGCCATCCTCCAGCACAGTGCTCAGACTTGATACCACATCAGCTTGGCTGGCTCGGCAGGTTTGAGCCTGGACTCTTCCACTCCACAGCGCCCTTATCTCCCTTACTCTATCATGGCCCTGCTTGTTGGGAGGTCTGCAGCCTCAGGCAGAAGAGGCCCCTGGCACTGAGCATGAAGGCTTTTTCCTTGGCTGTCTTGGGAAGAATGGACAGGGACCACCCAGGGGGACCCTGGCTATTGCTGTTTCATTCGTGCTTGGACGATTCCTTTTCCCACTGCAGCCAGCCACGATTTTCCAGTTTCCTAGTTCCAGCTCAGCAAAACCCCATACTTTCCCAGAGATAGACACAGGACTCAAGGCGATCAGTCTCCACTACTGCCATCTCAAACCATGTGACCATCTCCTGGTCAGCATCCTTACCCTCGAACTGCCGCTTGTCCAGAGTCCCTAAACCCTGGAGTAGTTCCATGGCATACCAGTAATGTATCAAGACTCTTCAAATCCAGTGTATTTGTCTTTTTTTTTTAAACTGAGAACTGTGGATTCCACAAAAGACTTCTTTCTGGCTTTTCCCAGAATACTGAAATTGGGGGGAAGTTCTGTGGCCCCATGAAATAGGATGGCAGTTCTCTAGAACTGTCAAACTTAGAAGAAGGTCTCTGGTACATTAGAACTGGGGGCAGCTCTTGGAAATCCTGAAGCACTGTGTGAATTTCCCAGAATTCCAGATCCCTTAAAAGAGCTCTCTGAAATTATAAAACTTTGTGTAGAAGTTGGGAGGGATTCTCTGGAATTTTTGGCTGGGGGTGGGGATGTTCGTCAGTGCTTAGAAGGCCGTCCATGAGTTTCTAGAGTGCTGGCAAATCTAGAGATCAGCCGAGGTGTCTGGAACCCTGGTTGAGTTCTCCAGATACTTGGGGTCTCCAGCTCTTAGCCAGTGCAGAATGGGGTTAGCTGCATTGTTTCAGTTTCACGGCTGGAAGGATTAGGTAGGACAAAAGAAGCTTCAGGAAGAGCATGCCTATGGATGCTTGTGTTTAAAAGGCTTTAGAGTCTCCCCTCAGTGACCAACCCCAAGGCAGACCCCAAGACATGGAGACAACGTGAAATTTTGTGGAGACCCTACTGCCAAGAGCATCATGAGATGCTCCCTGTCTCTCTGTCTGCTTCAGCCTTCTCTCAAACCCCAGTTGTGCCCTGCTTTCTCTTACTCAGGGTCTTTCTTCCCTTTGTCTAAAGACACATTTGCCCCAGTTCACACTTACTCAGTTTGGTACACAACAGATTGATTTCAGCCCCTTTGAGGGATATTCTGTGGCCTCTTAGATTACTTTTTCCATTTATATCTCCTTGTTGAGCTTCCAAAGACTTGTCTTCCTTTATTTTAAGGAAACAGACATGGTGGAGCAGGGTTGGGCAGGTAGAGGTGGTCTTGCTATGAAACAAGGAGAAGCAGCTCCTAGAACTTGTAAGCAAGTTGGTGTGGTGATTGGAGACCAGGGCTGGAGTCAGGAGACCTGGGTTCTAAGCCTGCCCTGCAATCTACAAGCCCCCTGGCCATCACTGACATCTACACTTGCTAGCAAGCAAAAAGAGATCTTTAAAAGTTGACCAGAGGTGTCTTCCAAAAGAACCTTCCTTTGGCTCATGGCTCTGATCACACGCTGTCTCTCACTCATCACACATTTACTAAATCCTTACTTGAAGGCCAGGCCTGGTCTACTAGGCATGAGGGACCCTGGCCTGATACTGAGCCACTGCCCTGTTCTCAAAGAGCTTCCAGCCAAGTGGGGGAAAAGGACTATCAGAGTGGCAATTGCTATGCATGAAATAAATAGCAACTAGCAAATTTATGAATGAATGCCGTGTATTAATGCATTCATTTCTCATAACAACTCTGTGAAGTAGGTACTATTATTCTCATCTTGCAGTGAGGAAACCAAGGCAAGAAGAGGTTCAGGAACTTGCCCAAGGTCACACAGCTAGTAGGTGGCAGAAGTGAGATTTGTACTAGGGTGGCCTGGCTCTTGAATAGGTAATCTTAACAACCATGCCAAGTGGCACCCAGTGGGACCACAGAAGAAGGGCAGATAGAGGAGCTGTTTCTATCTAACTGGGAACCATTGAGCAGAGCAGAGCAGAGCAGAGCAGCCTCCTTGGAGAAAGTGGTCCTCATCCAATCCCAGCACAACCCAGCAAAGCCAGACCATACAGAGGTCTTTGATGAGGTAGAGAAGAGGACTCCCCAAGCCCCTTTTCCCCGTGGAGGAAACTTCACCACCTCCAAAGATAAGGTAATTATTCACAGACTACCCAATGTAGGAGGATTTTCCGCAGCCAAGCCAGAACCAAAAGAATGAGAAACGGCCCAGCCTTCGTGTGGTGGAAAGGACACGGAGGGGAAGATCTGGGTGGTCTCCCGGCTGCAGAACCTTGGCAAACCTACTTCCTCTCTCAGCTTGTCCACTCAGCTTACAGCTGTGGGAGCCTGGGCAAGGTAGTTAACCTCTCTGAATCTCAGGCCTCCGCTGTAGAGTGGGGATGAGATTGGTTTACGCTATGAGACGTTCATGTGTTCATAGGGGATGAGGTAAAGATTTAAAGAGTGCATCCATGTAAGCTGTTTAGGACAGAGCCTGGCATGTGGTCAGTGCTAAATAAATACTAGTTGTTATTACCATTTTTATTACTGGTGGATGCTTTCAGCACAAACATTCTACCAGTCCTGTTCTCCAGGAGAGGAATTGCATCGATATCTGAACTCTGTTATACAGACTTATGAACTTGACAGCCAGCTCTGCCAGCTCCTTCCTACAAGGTGAGCCTTCTAATGTGGATTTTTTTCCAAGGAGAGAGCATTCAGCAGAGAAGCCAGGGATGAGTTCCCACTGCCCTCCCAGGGAAGCTGATGGTGAGAGATTCATTTATCTTCATTGAAGAAAGGCCAGTGGGACTTTCCAGGGAGTCTGGCTTGCCTCGTGATTTCAGAAAAGAGCTATTTTAGTCCCTCCAAGGGTACTGGGTGACGTCAACCCGTCGGGCAGGCCTCTGGAGGTCCTGCTTTAATGCAGGACAGATAAGACCAGCCTGCAAAGAGCAGGAAAATGCCTGGGCCCTCTTCCTGAATGCAGACCAGCCTTTGGGAGTTTATTCCTTTGGGAGTTCTTTCTTCCCAGATACAAAGGGAACCAGGCCCTGGGCTACGAGTTCTGTCCCTGGGGCGGCTGGATCTCAAGGACACCCAGCTCCAAAGTGCCTCACTTTCTCAGCTGCGTCTTCAGGTTAAGCCACCCGCTCCCACAGTCTGGGGGTGAAACTGACAACATCTAAGGCCATCCTCCACCCAGGGCTACATTTACTATTTGCCAAGCTCTTTCCAAGGAGCAAGAACATGATGTGTTTCTCATCATTTAATTCTTCTACGTCCCTATGGGCTCTTGTTAACCCCATTTAACAGAGGAAAAGACTCACCTTGAGAAAGTTGAAGTCAGTTAAGATCCAACAGGCAGGAGAGGGTCTCTGCCATGACTGGAACCCAGGACAATCTGGGTGCAAAATTCGGCTGCTTAGCCATCACTCTGCTGAGGACTTAGGGATCTTTCCAGCCATGATACACGGACTAATTCAAAATCGGTGATGAAAGGGAACAGGGGTCTTTGCTTTTTAAATTGGGCCATTGAGCATCCCAGTTACTCGTTCATTTGCTCACTCATTCATTGATTGTCATTTAAGGACTTGGGCCCGGTAGTTTCAATCTCCCAGTCTCCTTTAGCTGTCTTCTAGTTGAGTGGTCCTTTTGGGGGCCTGACCTACTTTTTTCCTCATAGTTCTAAATCAGGCAATTAACGTGTGGTCGCTGAGCACCTGTTAAGTGCCCAGCACAGTGCTGGGCCCCAAGGAAAAGGAACGGTCAGGTCTTGGTGTGGCAGAGACCGAGCGTGCTCTTGGCTGGGGAAGGGAGACCCGGGTTCATGTAAACTGACTCACACTGTGAGGGGTCCAGTGACGAGAGACCCCACCAAAGGACATGGCCAAGGGCCTGGTGTTTATCAGGGGACAGTGTCTGTGGGAGGTCAGCAGAGGGACTTGGGTGTCAGGGAGACAGATCTGGGTTTGAATCACTACTCACTGGCTGGGTGACCTTTGACACCAGGTCATCTGCTCTCTCAGCCTCAGTTTTCCTGTCTGCAAAATACGGCTACCCTTATAGTAAAACGCTGGAACCTTAACGGGAGAATTCTGTAAGGCGTGCTTGGGGAGTGCTCAGCATGGGGCCTGGCACTTAGCAGGGACTTAATCAAGTGGTTTTTCAGGTAACCACCGCCTTTGTGGGCTATAGCAGCGATACCCAATTCCGGTTCACCAGGAGAATCGAATTCCCTGGGCAGGGGACTATTTTTAAAAGGGCCCCATCTAAGTGTCCAGCTCTGCGGCTGGGGTGGGGATAGGCAAGGTCGAAGCTGAATGTCTTCCACTCACCAGGGGGCTGTAAGCAGGCTTGGGGCAAGGAAGGCTGGGATCTAGTTTGGTTCTGTGACTTCTATGGGCCTTTGCTCTAGGCCTCTGGCTCCAGGTCTATACAGAGAACTCTGAACAAACCTCAGTGGTCTTTCTAGAAGTTCTCTGCTGCCCTCTAGTGGACGCGGGATGCTCACACCTTCTTGCACGTAATGCCTGTGGTGTCTGGAGCCCTTACCTGGTACCACACGCTGTGCTAAGTGCCTGTGAGGACGTGGGTCCCTCCAGTGTGTACACCCGGGAGCCCTTTCACAAATGCCCCTCACTCAGGTTATTTATTAAAATTTATTAAAATTATTTATTAAAATAACTCAGGTTATTTTAGCCCCATCACATGAGTTAATTATACCCTTATTCGGCGGTCCAGACGAGGAGGACGAGGCCAGGGAGGGAAAGGACTGCCCCCCGTCCGCCCCCAAATCTGGCAAATCACAAGGACTGGGATTCGAGTCTGTGGGTGGCCTGGCTCTTTGGGACAGGGGTGGGGAGCGAGTCACAAAGCCTAGACAGAGCAGGGCAGTGAGAACAACCCCAGCACTGGCACGGAGTCCTGGGTGCTGCCACGTCCAGCTTCTCCACGAAGGGACAGGCTCTGAGTCCAAGGGAAGTGGGTGAGGTCACGCACTGGGGCGAGCTCGGCCAGACACCTCCTCGTGGGGAGGGAAGGTGTCCACCGCTAGCAGAGGAAGGCCCCAACCTTGCCCACGTCCACCCAATGTCCTTGGTGTCCCTGCTGGTCCAGTCACCAGGCCCCAGTGCCTGGGACCCTTTTCTTCCTCCTCGAAAACCTCCTAGGGAGCTGCTTTCCTGGGCTTCTCACTTGCACTGCCTCCAAACTGGTCTCTCTGGGTTATAAATCTGAAAACTCACCAGCGCTCCCCAGATACTCCGGATAACAAGCAGGTCCCGCGGGGCTGTCCTCCCAGCCAGGCCTCGGCCACCTCCCCAGCCTCGCTCTCCCCACGTCCCTCTATCTCCCAAGCTTCAGACCTAGGATTTTGCTTGCTCATTTGTTTTTGTGTTCCAAATGCATTTCTCTCTCCAGGTTCCTCCTCTAAGCCTTTGCAGTTGCTGTCCCCTCTGTCTGAAACACCCTCCCCGACTGCCCCCTCCCCACCGCTGCCCCTGCCCCACCTGTGTGCTTCTGTCTGGCTAACTCCTGCTCTTCGGGTCGGTCGGATTCCCTCCCCTGGCCTCTGCTTCCCCCATCAGGGCAGGGACCATCCTGCGCTGTCACTTTTTCTCTCCCCTTGTCCCACCCCTCCCTGCCCCTGCCCCCGCCTGGGAGTTTACTCTGGGGAGTCTGTCGTGCTCTCCACCCTATCCCCAGCACCAATCATGGAATGAATGAGTGGATGAATGAATGAATGGTGGGAGAAAGCTTGGGGGCTGGAGTCTGCCCATCTGGCTCTGTAGCTTGGCTCCAAGCTGGGTGACCTTGAACAAATCCCATTCCCTCTCTGAGCCCCAGAGTGTTCATCTGAAACAGGCTTCTGTTCCCCCCTGCACCGGGCACCTCTGAGGCTCTGAGGCCTCCCCTTGAAGTGGTTCTGGAACCTGGCCAATTCTGGTGGACTTTTGGACCCCTGAGTGCCCTAAGAGGACAGGAGCCCCAGATCCTGTGTCCTTCCACCTGGATGGCCAGAGGAGGGAGAGGGGTCAGCACCCCCATCACTGCCAATCTTGCATCTTTGTGGCCCGGGGTTAATTTTTAAAAAGAGTCTCAAAGTCCAGGTGGGCTTTGGCAGAGTTTGCCTTGTTTGCTCTGGTTAATAATCTCAGGAAAGCAAACATCCCCGGAGGCAGGAAAAGAGATCAACAACCCGGGCTCGTCCTCCAGGCCTCTGACCTCCCCCAGGAGAGGCTGTGTGGCCAAATGAGCAGTCCTGTCCAAAAGAGGCCCGAATTCTTCTACACCCCCGTGTGCCTCAGGCTTCCCGTGGGGCCGATGGGGTTGACACCCCTAATTATTAAGGACCCTCTGTGAAGATCAGATGAGCCATCGTGGTACCCTGTAGGCAACCTTAAGAGGTTGGCTCTGTTCCTATTAATGATTCACTGTTATTTTTTCATTCTTATACCAGCTCTGGTTTCTCTAACAACAGACACCCCTAGACAGTCACACAGATGAGGCAGTGGTCTATTTACAGAGCACTTTCACACATATCGCCTCACTGGACCTCTTGGCAGACAGATCAGGGACTGTTACCTTCCATTTACTGGTGGGGAAAGTGGGCCTCACAACTGGAAAGCCATCCCCAAAGTCATGCAGAACAAGTCAAGTCTTCTGGCTCTCAGCTTTCTGTACTGTTAATTCAGACTGCCTTCTTACTACCACCGCTAACCATGTCATAAAATATTGAGAAACTTTGTGAACAAGATGGAAGATCATTGTCTCAGAAATCTAAGCCAAGATGGTTGCTATGATTAAACTTGTAACATGGCTTTGAGCTTCCTGACAGCCAAAGCAAAAAGGAAATGTCCTCAGTAGCCAAGCTGTCAGGGATGGAGCAAAGGAAACATATTCACTTATTATGAATAGAGACACACTTGTTCCTGATACTGAAGAAAGGTGACTGTATTGGGTAGCTTTTGCAGAGGGATATGACATACCAGTTGTTGGGGCCACTGATTGTGTTGGGGGAACTGCCCGATTCTCGCATTAGCAGGGGTCTTGCTTTTGAAGTCGTCTGTCTGAAGGGGTCATTCCCAGCTGTAGCTGGGAGGCTACTGTGAGTATGGTATGTTTCATGCCGAAGGCAGGGGAGAAGTAAGGACAGCAGTTGTGACCACTGGAGAAGAGATCTTCATAAAAGGGCCTACAGTGTCACTGGCAAGGGTTTTGATCTTTGGAAGCCAACAGACCTGGATTTAAAAAAAATTCCCATTTAAATATTTTAACGTAATGAACACTGCATAGTTTCCCATGCATAGCTGCCATTAGGAACCACCATGAACTGGCTGATTTAAAACAACAGAAGTTTATTCTCTGACAGTTCTGGAGGTTACAAGTTCAACAGCAAGTCGCCAGGAGGGCCGTCATCTTTCTGAAGGTTCTAGGAAAAATCCTTCCTTGTTCTCCCCAGCGTCAGCTGGCAGCCCTTGACATGCAGCTGCCTCGTCCCAATCTGCCTCAGTCTTCATGTGGCCATCTTCTCTCTGGGTTTGACCCTCCCTCTCCCTGTCTTCTGAAGACATCAGTCATTGGATTTAGGGCCCACCCTCACCTCGTATAACCTCACCTGAACTAATTACATGTGCAAATAAGGTCACATTCTGAGGTCCCAGGTGCACATGAGTTTGGGGGGGGACACTATCCAACCCGCTACAGACACATTCGGCTCTTACCATGTGCCAACTGCTGTCCTAGTGCTTTACAAGCTCTAATTCCTTCAATCCTCACGACGATGCTCTGAGCCAAGAACCACTGTTATCCCCATTGACTGATGAGGACACGGAGGCACTGAGAGGGCAAGTCACTCCCCGCAGGCCACACAGCCCGTGAGTGGCACAGAAAGCAGACTGGCTCCTGGGTCTGTGCTCTTAGCCACCACCAAGTGCTGCCTCTCCCAGCGGCTCTCTTTCCCAGCGGAGACACTCTGGGTAAGTCACTCAAATGTCCTGTCTGTAACAGCACCGACTTGAAGCGGTTGTTGTGGGGACAAGCTCCATTCCATGGCAGGTACACAGCCAGCACATAGTAGGTGCTTAGTGAACGGAATCTGATGACATAACCACCATCATTATTATTCTACTATTATTTGCTCCCACCATGGGAAGCCACCGGTCAGAGAAGGAAGTCTGGGGACAGGTCACCTGAATTCTAGCCTTGGTTCAGGCAGACCTCCCTGTAGTCTCCAGTAAGTCACTTCCTCTTCTCCGGCCCCAGTTTTCCCATATGAGATATGGGCCAATTAGGCGCATCCTCCTGCTCACAGGTGGAATGATCCAGTGGCAAGGGCCGGGGGCTGCCCATCTTCCCCATGCTGTGACAGGTGAGGTGTTTTTGGGGAAGCCTTTGGAGGGGCTGAACTCAGCCCCCGGCTGCACCTGGACCAGGCTGTATTTGGCCGGCAGCTCCTCTGAAACAGCTACCCTGGCCCCTTGGGACTCCTGACCCAGGGCACCACAAGGGATCGATCAGCCCTGGCCTTGGGGCCCTGATTGGTCCCAGCTGAGCAGGGCAAAAAGCAAGGTCACCTACAGCTGCAGGCCCCTTCCCCAGCCTCAGTTCACGGCTGCCTCGAGCAAGGAGGTAGCGGCTTTTCTTTCCCCAGACCGAGCCCGACGGTGTCACCCAGGGAGCCCAGAGCCATGCGGAGTCTCGGGGCCCTGCTGCTGCTGCTGACCGCCTGCCTGGCGGTGAGGGCCAGCCCTGTGCCGACACAGCCCAACGACATCCAAGTGCAGGAGAACTTCGACCTTTCCCGGGTAAGGCTGGCCTCTCCGGTGCTGATGGCAGGGTGTCCGAGCGACTGGGCCTCGCTGTGGGGAGGGGAGCAAGCCCCACCTGCCCTGGGGTCTCCGTCTCCCCATCTGGAACTGCAGGGGTGGGGACCTTCCTGCTGCTCTGACTGTCAGGGATTCACTGAAGCTGCAACTCTTTGCATCTGACAGTCAGTGTCAAAGGTGCTCACGTTTGAACCTGTCCTCTCAGGCTCCAAGGAGGATCCATGCTTCGATTAGAACTCACCCCAGAGAAGGCTCTGTGCTGACTCCTGCCCCTGCAGCCCTCACACAGCGCCGACCTAGCCTTCTGTGACTCCTCTGCACCCCCACCTTGCAGCCTTCATCCATTAATGACTTAGCTTCCTCGCAGCACCTCTGTTAGCCCGTCCTGGGCCCTCTGTCCTCACAGGCCTAGGGATTGTGGAGGGCACGTGGGGTTGTGGGTAGACGAGCAGCAGGACAGAAGTCAGGATGGTGGGATTAGGAGGCCTGGGCAGAGCGCTATGTGTGTGGAGTTAGGACTGCCCTCTCCCTGCATGACCTTGAACAGGGCCTCCCCCCACAACCCCCAGGGTTCAGCCAGGCCCGGGTAGCTGTGGTGTCCTATGGATTTTGTTTATGTTCAGAGTTAAGGAAGGGCTGTGGGGGGAGGGGCACGGGGAGCGGGGCCTGTGGAGGTCTGCGGTGGCAAGGGGTCTGCAGGGACATGAGGGCTATTTTCAGCTCTGATGAGTGGTCAGGAAAAGCGGCGGCAGGCTAGCCACGGGTCAGACTCTGCTTAGGAAAAGGAGATACCTTCTAACATGGGGGTGTGGGCTGCCTGCAAGCTGGTAAGCACGCTGTCCTCGGAGGAGTGAAAGACAGGACTCCGCTCTTGGGAAGCAGTGGTTGATGGTGATGACCTTAGGGCACTGGGATTTGGACCCTATCCAGGTGTGCAGCACAGATCCCCCATCTTAGCAGAGTCAGGTCCTCGGCTGGCAGGGGAGCCAGCCCACCTGCGCATCTCCTTCCTAAGCTGGTCAAGTGCCTGAAGTTCCACAACTGGGGCTCCATGTTCCCTGGAAGCTGTGTGGCCTCCAATTAGCTATGAGATTTTATCACTTAGGAGGACAAGTCACTGAGAGGAGGGAGGGGGACAGATGTCCTCCAAGTCTTCCCTGAGGTCCAGATCCTCAGAACATGTGGCTGCCTCCTAGATCTACGGGAAGTGGTTCCTCGTGGCCGTGGGCTCCACCTGCCCGTGGCTGAAGAGGTTCAAGGACAAGATGACCGTGAGCACGCTGGTGCTGGGGGAGGGAGCGACCAAGAGGGAGATCAGCACGACCAACATTCATTGGCGGTGAGCACGGGGGGAGGGGAGGGGGAACAGGGCCCACTGTACCCCTAACACTGCCTGTTTTCCAACCTGCTCTTGCTCCTCAGGTGTCCCTTAGCTCAGTGAAGTCACTTCCACCCCCAACCTGGAAAGCTGGGTGGGAGGGGGATGTCCTGGTCTCCTCTTTCCACTGCTGCAGCCATTCACACCATCGTCAGGCCCTATCTGTGCTCTTTCTAAACCCCTCCCACCTGTTCACATCTCCCCTCTTCACTGCCGCCACCCTGGACCAAGCCACCTTCCTTCTTTCCTGGTTGTTGACATTGACCTCTCTCTTCTTTGCCCACCTTTAATCTCCAACCCTCCATCCAACCCATTATTCACTCAGCAACCAGAAAAAAACTTTCAAAAACACAAATCTGTTTAAACCTCTCCATAGTTTTCTATTGCCCTTGGGAATAAAATTCAATTCCTGCAACATGGCCTTCCAGTGCTGCCCCCAGCTCCCAAACACTCACCATTCCCCACACCACACTCTCCCTTGTACTCTGTGACCCACCCAAATGGACCTTCTTTCAGTTCCTGGAACCCTCCATCCTCTGCACCTTTATATTGGATATTTTTTCTACCAAGAAAATCTCTCCCTACTTCCCTGCACTAATTCCTACGGATCCTTCTGGTCTCAGGTTCTGTGTCACTTCCTCCAGGAAGTCCTCCCTGACCCCACCTCAGGTTCAGGTTACATGCCTTCCTTTATGCTCTCAGAGCACTTAATGCTTCCCCTCTGCGTGGCACTTATCACATTGGCGGCATCTGCCCCTGACCTACCCACCCACCCCACTCGACTGTAAGCTCCATGAGGGGACAAGGTCTGTCCTCTGTATCCCCAACAGGTGGCACAGTGCCTGACATATAGATGCTGCTCAGTATATATGAATAAGAAATAATAATCATCAGAACAATAATAGCTAATAAGTGCATAGTGCTTACTGTAAGCTCTCTACATATAGTATCTCCTTTGATCCTAACAACCACCGTGTGAGGTAGAAACTGTCACTACACCCATTTCTCAGATGAGGAAAATGGGGGCAAGAGAGATACAAAGTGATAAATGAGTCAGTGGGTTAACTTATCATTCTGACTTCCTGATGCATCAGTACAACATGAGATTTGGTTAAGGAAGCTGACGCTAGTGTTGGCTTTGCCAGGAGGATGGTATGGAGTAGTCCCTTTTTCCTCTGTCACTCTGTTCCCTCATATGTGAAATGCGTGTCTCCCAGGGCTGGTGTGAGAATTAAACCAGATCTTTGGAAATGTTACTTTCAAAATTACAAAAAAAAAAAAAAGAGAGAGATTTGGAAGGGCCCTGCAGGAGAGTGTGGTGTCAGGACCATGGTCTCTGCCAGAAGTTACCTTTCTTTTGTGCATTTCCAGGAAAGGTGTCTGTGAGAAGTTCTCTGGGACTTATGAGAAAACCAGCACTGATGGAAAGTTCCTCTATCACAAATCCAGTAAGTTGAGTCAAAGGAGCAGCCACAGTTCTCTTTTTTGCTTAAAAAATGCCTGGTACCTCAAGCTCTCTTCCCTTCTGCCTCAGCTCTCTCTGCCCCTATAACCTTTCCTTCCCTTTTTCTGAGATGCCATCCAGCCTTCCTCCAAATTCCCTCTCTTCCTTTGCCTTCTCTCTTTCTCCCCTTCCCCCACTCCCACTCATGTGCTCATCCAAGATTCAAGCCATGGTGCTAAATGGATAAAATCAAGATTTTATCAGTCTTTGTGTTTGGCATCTGCAATCAGCTGGTACAAGTTTGCTCAGCATTTACCATGGACAGTGCATATGGCGCTAAGTGACAGGGACTTGGACATGAATTTATTCATTAATCTGGCAAATGTTTATTGAATTTGCTCTGTGCTTCAAATAATTGTGTCGGGGTTGAGTATTTGGGTAGATGGATGGTTGGATAAAGAAATGAGGGAGAGAATTAAAAAATGGTAAGTGAATACATGTATGATGGCAGATGAGTGAGTGAATTAATCATTTAATAGATAAATCAATGGATTAATGGGTAGAGGGGAAAGAAGGAAGGAAAGAAGGAAGGAAGAGAGGAAAAATGGATGAATTTATGGATTGATACATGGAGAGGATGGATGGATGGAATAATGGTGGATGCATTAATGATGAACTTATGGAGGAGATGGATGGCTAGAGAGATAGAGTAAAGCTGGATGAATAGAAAAACAAATATATGGAAGGGATGGGTGGACAGAAGGATGAATGAATAGATGATGTGCGGGTGAACGGGTGAAGGATCTCAGGCTAGAAGATCTCTTTGTCTTCCCGCATCTTCTATGAAGAATGGAACATGACCATGGAGTCCTACGTGGTCCACACCAACTATGATGAGTATGCCATTTTTCTGACCAAGAAATTCAGCCGCCGCCATGGACCCACCATTACTGCCAAGCTCTATGGTAAAGGCCTGGAACTGAATAAGCTCACTGGAGTTGGGTGTAGGGGGTGGGAGGAGACCTGAAATTTAGGGAAATGGAGTGGTAAAGAGCAGGGATTTTTTGCTTTTACCTTCTGAAAAAAATCCAGTTATGGAAAAGGTAGAAACATTTGCTCTCCCTGGAGAAGTAGATCTCAGTCTCCCATTTGAGATGGAATCTTCCTATTTGGATCCGGAAAATTCCAGAGCTTCAAGGCCCTCAAAAGAACCAGTGGGAAGAGCACTGGGTGGGGAGTTGGGAGATCTGGATGGGGAGCCTGGGAGAGATACCTCTTCCTCTGCTGGAGCCGATCTTTCCAAAAGTGTACTGAAGAGATTGAATTGGGCTGACAGTTTTCAAACTTTCCCCAAATGAAAATCCCTGGGCAGAATAACCTCAGGCCCTGCTGGCCCAGGCACCTGTGAGTCTAGGCGTCTTCCCTGCTTCCCACTTGCAGGGCGGGAGCCAGAGCTTCGGGAGAGTCTGCTGGAGGAGTTCAGGGAGGTTGCCCTGGGTGTGGACATCCCTGAGGACTCCATCTTCACATTGCCCAATAGGGGTAAGTGGCACCCCCACCCCTCACATTTCTGCCCCCCTCATCCTTCATGGCCCCCAGAGAACATCCTCCCAGCCCCTAGGTCTTTACTGTAACCCTCTGTGATAAGCTGGGCGATAGTCCCCTTCCTCTCTTTATAGAAAAGGCATCTCGGGCCCCTGGATTTGCTCCCCGTCACACAGTGTGTACCTGGCAGGGCTGAGACTAGAACCAATTCAGTGTTCACCTTGCTGCCACCTCTCTAAGTGTGGTTATATCCAGAACCCATGGCTACCTCTTAGGAGGCAATAGAGGGTTGGAGTTAGGAGCCTGGGCCCCGGAGTTAGAGCACTGAGATTCAGATTGAGCATTGTGGCTTCTGGCTGGTCATCCTTCAGGAGCCTCATTTTCTCATCTGCAAAAACAGCATAACAATGCCTCTCTTTGAAGCTGCTGTGAGGAGTCAGTGAGATACAGCTGTTAAATACAATAGCGCTGCCCATGCATCTAGTAAGTGCTCAATAGATGTTAGCTGTAAAGTCAGGTTGGGAGGTGGAGACAATGCAGACGGTGTTGACGGTGCGGCCACCAGTCTGTTGCATTTCCAGTGAGTGACCTTCAGCAAGCCACGTGGGTGGAGCCGCCCATGAAGTGGGCTGATGTACAAGACAGGTCCCAGCACGGTGCCTGCCTGGCACATGGTCATTCACTGTACGGAAGAAACAAAGCCTGTCTGGGTCTAGGATGTCTGTGTCTTATTCTCTCTCTCTCCTGCCCTCTGACCTAGGTGAGTGTGTCCCTGGGGAACAGGAACCAGAGCCCACTCCACTCTCGGTGAGTACCTGTGTCCCCCATCCCGTCCCCACCCTGCCCACTTGCTTAGGCTCCGCTGTGGTGGTGGGTGGGGTTGTTGAGAGGAGGCAGTGATGGGCGTGGGTTTTGGAGTCAGACCCACCTGGGCTCAATCTTGGTGCCGCCATTGGGCTAGTTGCTGCCCCATCTGGACCTCACTTTCCTCATCTGTGAAATGGGGAAATCACCCTTACCATCCAGGTGCTAGAATCCAATGACGTGCAGAAAAGGTCTTAGCATAGTGCCTAAGAGCAGTGCCATACTCGATAATGAGATAATGATACTGAATAAATGAAAATAAAGTCAATTGATGTCCCTAAAAAACACAGACCTGAGAGCAAGCAGCTTCTCAGACCAATGCCTCCCCTCTGCTGCCTTTTGATTTTGGAGGCTTCCTTCCTCTTCTCTCTTATTTTCCTGCCTTCTGCCACATTGATTAAATCTTCATTCTATCTTTAATTATTTGGAAATGATACATATCCTAATTTAGTCTACTGTTGTGTGTGTATATATATTTGTACGCATATCTGTAAATATATATGCAGATAATATTTATTTTAGAAACATATTCTTGAATGTTTGAAAAAATACAAGAAAGCAAAAAAAATAGACAGTAATGTCCTTATTCCTACATAGAATTAATACTGTTAACATATTATCTGTTTGCTTCCATGTTTTTTAAGAAAAATTACCGTGATTTTATAAAACTAATATGTGCTCATTATAAAGGATTAAAGTAATGCAATATAAAAAAATGAAAGTTTTAAAAAATTCCACCACCCCAAAACTACCAGCATTTACATTATTCCAGGAATCTTGACCTGCATACACCTGGTGAGGGACAGATGGAAGGAAGGTTGGATATTTAGAGGCTCAGATTTAGAAAAGCTGTTATTAAGTGGGATTATACTCCAGTTGCTATTTATAAATTTTAGAAGGTATTCATTGCAGTTTTACTTGAATTAAAAAAAAACCCTGAAGTTTGAAAAGTTTAAAAAAATCTTCAGATAAATATTTCTTCTCCACAAGAGGTTTATTCTTAAAGAAAACTCTAAGTCACTCAAGGTTATGAACTAAAATTTAAGAGGCTGGCGTCACGATGTGCACTCTTAGAAGCTATCTATTGTCTCCAAGATTTGAAAGACGGCCAGTAACACCCTCCAGCTTTGTTCCATCTCCTCTTCCCTTTTTCTTTTACATTGTCTAGACTGATACTCTTCCCATTCTGCTCTGTCGCCGCAATTCCCAGACAATTAGTAATAGTTCTATATTTTAATGGGTTCTCCATTCGCTCTCAGTGACTATAACACAGCTTCGCCAATCCCGTTGTTTAAGTTTGTGAATCTCTTAGTGCCATTTCTTTACCAAGTGCTGTTTTTGAGGCAGGTCCATGGGTGTTCTAACCCCAGAATTCTTCCCGGTTCGAGAATGTCTACCCGTTCCCTTCATCCTTGAATGGTATTTCGCTTGGGTGTCATATTCTTAGGTCATGCTTTCTTTCCCTCTGAAGAAGCCCCCTGGTTCTCCCGCACTGCTGATCACTGTGGGGAAGCCAGAGGCCAGCCTGATATTTCTTCTCCTTGTAAGCAATTTGTTTCTTGTGCCCAGATGCCTGGACAAATTTTATCCGTGATAAGAAGTCAACTTCTTAACAAAGACGTGTCTTGGGGTTAAGCGTCTGTATCAGAATTTCCTGGAACACGCTGTGCTCTTTCCATCCGCAGAGGACGTGTCTTCTGTATTTCAGGAAACTCTCTCGCAGGATATGGAATTTGTCTTCCATTCTCTCTGTTGGGTCTTGCTATGTGGGGAACACCTGTTCTCTCGTCCTGAGGCATCTTTGTCCACCTGTACTGGTTCCTCCTGCATCACTTCATCTGCATCCCCTGGGATTATCACGAGTCTCTCTTCCACCACAACCCTTCCTTCTAGAGCTTGAGGCCAATGAGGAATTTCCTTCTGCTTCTTGTTATGTTTTCTTCAAAGCTGGGGCCACAGGTTGGTTTCCCTAGATCAACGCTCATGGAAAGAAGGGACGAAGGGAGGCTTGGGCAGAGAGAGGAGCTGAGCTGCAGGGCGGTCACGACAATGCCTCGGACAACCCTGTAGGGAAGCTCTGGAACCAGGATGATGCTGAAGAGTTGTTCCACCATGGGGCCAAGGGGCAGAGCTTTAATACCCAACGTTGATTGGTCTGGGAAGGGAGCCTGCCTCGAAGAGAGGGCTCCCTCAGCTGAGGTTGTCTCCAACAGGGGCTGACAGCTGGGGGCTGTCTGACAGCAGGACTTCAGTCACTGGGACTTCAGTCCTTGGGACTAGGCAGTTTGTGACAGGGTCTAAGACCACGTTGGACGCGTTCTCTAGTTCTGACTACTTATTCATTCATTTCTGAATACATGGATAGTTTCTGTACCATTTCTTTTTGTCTGACTCCCGCTTGGTCAGTTTTAGCCAGGCTTTCTGATTATTCTGATGTGGTGGGATAGGGGTTTCATTTATCCGTTGGCCCTCTTCCCACAAATTTGAGCTTAATCCCTTCCTCCCAAATTTAGTGTTAAGTTCTGGGTACTTTGTGTTCCATCCACTTTTCTGAAGTTCAGGGTTGGCTGGAATATCCCCTTTGCTTTCTCTTTGGCAGGACCGGTAAATATTCTATGTGGGTTCATTCCAGCTGGTCAGGGCTGGCAGTGAGGTACCTCTGCCCTGTAGTGACACCACCTGGAGCGTTAGACTGTAGCCCCAGAACCTTCATGTAGAGAGAGTCAGCCTCTGGTCTATTTTCTTGTCTTTTTCACTCCCCCAGAAGTCACTTTCACTATTTTTCCATCAGAAGAGGGAAAAGACAGTGTTCCCCTCAATCTTCTTCTCTTAGGATTTGGGAACATTAGAGAGAGTTATTAAAAATATGATGACTTGCCGGGGCTGGGAGTTGGAGGGCAGGGTTAGGAGCTGAACCTTGGTGACCTTCCTGTTCAACTCCCGATTATTGGATCGAGAGTTTTAGTTTTTGCTTTAAAGTATGCCCCTCTCCTCGTTTGAGTGATGGTGCTGCATGCTTGGGGACAGGCATTTCCGAATCATTTTTCGCTAATGGTTAGTATTAGGGCAATTTTGAAGGAAATTTCAATCTGCCATCTTTATCCAGATCTTAGCTGAGTCCCTGCTTCTTCATCCACATCCACATCCTTCAGAAACAATAACTGATGCCCTCCCTTGCAAAAGAGAGAAATGTGGCACACGTCCATTTCTTCCTTCCAGGCCTCCTACATCCCTGTTCTTGTGGGTCTAATCTGAGATTGATGTTCATATTGTCCACCTTTTATTTTGAGAATTGCTTTTACATTAAGAATTTACATTCAGTTGCATGATCATTTTAACAATCATTTAACTGCAACTGTTTTTTTGGCTTTCTAGTCTACCATCATTTCTTTGCTCTTACATGATCCATTTTCTTGTGTTTAGATTCCACTCTCAATTGTTGGGAGTAGTTCTACAAGTACTTTTTTTCTGGAAAGATACATGGTGGAAAGCGACTGGATGCTTGCGTGTCTGAGAACGTCTTTCTGCATTTGTATCACATGATCAGCAGCTTGGCTGAGTGAGGAATCTGTGGGTTACCTATTCCCAACCTTCAGATATTGCTCTGCAGCTCCTGTCATTAAATAGTGTCATTTACTCTGAGGGCCACTATTAGGCTCTTAAACTTTGTCTTGAGGAAGGTTCTAGGTGGGGCTCTTCATTAATATTCCCTCATTCCCTTTGAGCCCTTATAATCGGACAACTCAAGTCTTTCTTCAACTCGGAAAAGTTTTCCACTATTATTTCTATATTGACTGCCTCTCCTTCTAGAATTCCTATTCTGTGAACTTATTTCTTATAATCTCTAAACTGCAGCTTATTATCTCTACTGTGTGGTTAAATTCTACAAAATCTTTTCCATCTCCAGTAACTTTCTACTATTATGCATTTACATAACCGTGGGCTCCTGTTACAGTGATGCAATGTCATCTTGAATTTTATTGATGGTTTTTTTCTCCTGTTTCTTACCAACATGTGTTGAGTGGAGGTATTTCTCCAGCTTAATCTGATTCTTCTGAGCAGCTGCACTATTTAAGTCATTCCATGACTTTTCTCCTTTCTATTGTCCTCACCAAGGAAGACCTATGTGCAACCAGCTTCAGATGGGTTCTGGCACACAGTGACAATCCCTGATCACAGCTTTTAGTTGTACCTTGAAAGGAGAAGGGGAAAATTGCAGGTTACTACAGTTTTACCTTTGCAGATTCCAGGTCTCACCTGTGGGCGGGAAGACTGCCTGATGGCCGGCAGTTTCCCCGCTCAGCCTTCTCTAATTGTCCTGGGACCCTGCCTCAGTGGGCTCTACTCCCAGAGATCCTTTTGACAGCTTTGGCAGTCTGCCCTGCTCTGCAGTCCCCTCCACTACAGCTGGGAGTGTTAGGGTCAGTCTCAGAGTCCTTTCTTACTCTCTATATGGCTTTTCCTTTGCAAGCAGCTAACAGTGGTCTGGTCAGCCCTTCCTGCAAACCAGTCACACCCACACTCCATACATTTGGAAATGCCTTCCAGTGTCTAGGATGGAATGCTGCCCTTCCATGGTTCCCAGCTCTGGAATAGATTTCTTTTCCATTATTATATTCCTCTGGGCATTTCAATGGGAAGTTGGATATGAAGGTATTGTCATATGTCAAGGTTCTGATTTTTCATTTCAGACTAGAAATCTATCCTGTGATGCCTATTCTGGAATTCAGGTTGATGCTTTTGGGAAAAAGGCCATTAACCAGTCTAGTAGCTGTGTTTCTGTCTTCACCTTGATCTCCAAAGCAAATGGTTTGTTTATCTCTTCCAGGGGTACAGGTGAGCAACAGTGGTTAGGTCCCTGTAACAGCTGCTTCTTTTTCTTCCCGCAGAGAGCCCGGCGGGCTGTGCTGCCCCAAGAAGAGGAAGGATCGGGGGCTGCACTACCAGTAACTGATTTCAGCAAGAAGGAAGGTAACGATCACCCTCCTTTTACCTCTTTTGGCCACCCTCCCAGAGAGGAAGGGCCATGGTTGGCTCACCCTGGCTGCCCTCATCACCCTGAAGTCTCTTTCTTATTTTTCTGCTAGAATCAAGGACTGAGCCTAGAAAAGGCAAATCCAGTACTCTGCCCTGTGCCAGGGGTTGTAGGGGAAGCGAGGAGTGGAAGGCATTGTTTGTGAGCTTAGGAACGCCCAGCTCCATGATGAGAAGCAAGTTCTTGGCCTGTTTATATCACTGTGTAGCCACCCAGACTTGGTTTTCTCATCTGTGTAATGGGATAACAGCCTGCTGAGCAGACCTTAAGGAGTCTCGTGGGGGCACCTGGGGAAGGACATGAGGATGCTTTGTATGGTTGATGAAGCCATCACTCTCCAACTCTCTCAGCAAACAGGGAACCCTCACCCTGCTCTGCCCCAGACCCTGTGCTCGGCACTGGGGTCACAGAGACAAACTGTCCATGTCTTTTTGGAACTTCTCTTCTAGTAGAGGAGGCAGTCACAGTCAAGGAAGAAAGTGATGGACCCCAAAGGAAGGGTCAGCTAAAGGGAATGGAGGAGCTCAGAGGATGGAAGGGTGAGGGGATCAAGGAGGACTTCCTGGATGAAGGGAATTCATGCTATGTTCAGGTATCTCAGTAGGGTTTTATGGAGGAAGGCATTCTAGGGGCAGGAATGATGAGCCAAAGGCACAGGGACAGGACCTCAGGCAGAGGTCAGGCTGGCTGGCACGGGTGTGGGTGAATGTATCATCAACTACTATCCTTACGGAACCTTTGGGCAGCCAAGACCAACACAGGGGATGCTGGGTCTGTGGGTGGCTGGTAACTCCCACCCATTCTAGTCATGTTATGGAATAGAACAAGCATTGATTTCTGGAGTCCAACAAACACAGTTTTCAATCTCAGCTCTATGTGACCCTGGGCAAGTCACTTTTACTTCTCTGAGAATCAATTTCCTTATCTTTAAAATGAGTTGATAACACTTCCTCTTAATGCAGAGATGAAAATGAAATGAAATGATACATGTTAAAGTATCCAGCTGGGTGACAGGTCCACAGTCAGCACTCAGTATGCTGCTGTTCTGCCCCTCCGCAGATTCCTGCCAGCTGGGCTTCTCACAAGGTCCTTGCCTGGGGATGATCAAGAGGTATTTCTATAACGGCTCATCCATGGCCTGCGAGACCTTCCACTATGGTGGCTGCATGGGTAACGGCAACAACTTCGTCTCGGAGAAGGAGTGTCTGCAGACCTGCCGAACTGTGGGTGAGTGCAGGCCCCGCCTTCGTGCACACTGCACCCCATGACCCTGTCCTCCCAGCCAACCACCTCCCCATTGAACAGGCAGCAGAGAGAGGATGCTCCAGTGGTGGAATTCCAAGGCAAGTTTCTTGAAGTCAGACAAATTGGATGCTTGTATATGGGTGACCCTAGGCAAGGATTTCTTCTCGTGGGTCTGTTTCTCAGTCTACAAAAAGGGGACTAGGTGTTCTAGACGGGCAGAGTCCCTGGCTCAGGCCCTTTGCTGGGTGTCTCAGGTCAGCGGTCGTAAGGATTTCGAATGCTCTGTGCCTCCCTCCTACTCCACAGAGGCCTGCAACCTCCCCATAGTCCCCGGCCCCTGCCGAAGCACCATCCGGCTCTGGGCATTTGATGCTGTCCGGGGGAAGTGCGTCCCCTTCTTCTATGGGGGCTGCAAGGGCAACGGCAACCAGTTCTACTCGGAGAAGGAGTGCAAGGAGTACTGTGGAGTCCCTGGTGAAGGTAGGAGGCCCTGCGGGATGCCAGGCTGGGCCCAGGGGCTCTTGGGGTCCAGGTAGGAGAGCCCTAGTAGGGGGTGGGGGTCTGGAAAGCTGAGTTCTGAACTCTGTACCAGGTAACCAACCCATCTACTCTCTGGGCCTCAGTTTCCCACCTGTAAAATGGGGCCAAGCCCCAGGCCTTACCCTGGCTGGGATGGGGCACCTGGGGAGGCGCTGGCCAGGTGCAGGCAGAGGGAATGCAGGACTGGCTGAGTCGAGTAGACCTGGGCTCCATTCCCGGCACTGCCACATTCGGGCTGGCCACGCTGTGTGAGTGCCAGTTTGAGGCTCAGTTTTCTCTTTTGTAAAATGAGAGAGTACCGACTTCCCAGACTAAGCGGTCATAGCACAGCTCACACTCATCTAGCAGCAGCAGTCACTAATAATGCTGGTGATGCTATAATGATTCCGGTAATAGCATTCCAGGAAACAGCAGCCATCTAAGATTTCTGTGCCTTATCTCCCCACTGGGAAACTGGCACCTAAAGTAAATCAGGAGGCAAAAAAAAAAAAAAAATCAGATCATTTTATGGAATGCACTTTGGCGATATCAAGTCATTTAGCAAGCAGAAGTTTCTGGCCCCAGTTGAGGCCCAAACTCAGCTCAAGCTGCCTTCCCTCCTCCCCGTCCCCTGACCGTCCCCACCCACAGAACCTTGGGCACCACCACACCTACTCCCTGGGCCTCTCTGTGTCCACAGGGGACGAGGAGCTGCTGCGCATCTCCAACTGACCGGCCAGAGGTCCACGGGACAGCAGGGAGGGCGTGGGCCAGTGTCTGCCCCAGTGCCCCACGGCAGGTTCCAATAAAAACCAAATTGTAGACTCCTGAACTCCATGTCCTGACTGTTCATTGTCGTCATAATGTACAATGAGATGGGGGAGGGGTGGGGGGACAGGCTGGGGTGGGGGTGCGAGTAGCCCCAGCTTTCCCCAGAAGTGAAAAATGTATGTGTTGGAAATGTAATAGGACTGTCTGCCGTACATGAAATTGGCTATGCAAATTATGGAACATAAATCACAGTTCTGTATAAAATGGGATTGTTTTGTTTTGTTTTAATAAAGCTAGAAAAGAAAAGAGGAAAAATATCTGGGTACGGGGCTCATGAGCAACCCAGGGGGCAGAAGAAATCACTGTGCCCTCACGTGTGCCCACAAGTGCCCGAGGTAATTCCCCTGTCCTTGACTGCACGGAACCCCCCTTCAGTGTTTTACTTGGTTCACAGCCACATCCCCAGCGGTAGTTGCCAGGGGCTGAAAAACCTCAGGCTGTTTCTCCATGCAGCCCAAGATCCCATCTCCTGGGCTCCTCCCTCTGGCCCTTTGTCCCAGAAGGAGAACGTTTACTGACCTTTGCATTGTGTTCGGGACAACCAGCTGGCCGTGGCCCCAAGCTGGAAGCGCTTGATCTGGCCTGGCTTCTCTCTTGAGGAAGAGAGCAGGTAGGCTGTCCAGGGCAGCTGAGGGACCAACTTGGCCCTGATGGATACTCTGCTGCTGAGAGTGAAAACCCCAGCTGTGTGTTCTGAAGTGGGACGCTGACCTGGTGGCAGGAACCCAGGCAGGGCCAGCGCCTCTTCTCCACTGGGGTTGGGTGACCAGCGTGCTGAGGGATGGCGGCACACTCAGTCAAGGGTCCCTTTCCTGCCATTAGCCTGTTTGCTTAAGAGACCCTCAGGAGGGAAGGAAGGCAAGGGCTACCCATTTCCTGTTGAAGGGATGAACAAGGATTTGGGAGAGGCAAAGATTTGGGCATAGCGAGCTTTGCAGCCTCCTTGGTCGGACCACATAAATCTTCCCCCCTTTTTCTCCCCCAAAGTCCTGAGCATGGGGCTACCATGTTCCAAAAGAGAGGTCTGTCCTGAGGGACAGGGTTTGTGGCCATGGCTGGGACTCTCAGAAGTGGGTGGGGTCAGGGGCAGGGACACAGGCTGGAATAAACGTTACCACGTCCTGCGTCCATGCTGTGCCTCACACACCGGGGCCAGCTGCCGATGGCTGTTGGAAGGTATCACTCTGAAGAGGGATATTTTGAAGTGACCTGAAGGACAGATGCCTAAACCAGAAAGTACAAGCTGCAGGCGGGCCGGCCAGCCTCAGCTCAGCTGGTGGATGGAATGCTTGACTCAGGTACCTTTTACAGTTCTGAATTCACCATTTAAAAAGGGAGCTTCCATATACAAATTGAGGTTTATTAATTCTCTTGAAAAGTAAGTTCCAGGAGCCCTGGTCCTGCATCCTGCACGCCAAGGGGCCTGAGCTGAGTTGAGGCACGCCCTGAAGACGGGGCCTCCAGTGCAGGTTACTGGCCCCGCCTGCCTCCCTGCCTGGTCCTGGAAGCATTTGCCTCCGATACTTACTAAAACTTCACTACAGAAAAATTGCCTTGGATCCTGTCCCTTTCCCTTCTACGGGGTTGAAGCTTATCTGTGACCCTCTGGCCAGAAGGCCGCTCATCTCAGAAGGGACCAGAATCATTCTCAGCAAAGTGGCTGCCCTGATGACTCACTTGATTCTTAAACAGCTTCACCTCAAATTGTCTCTTAAAGATATTGGTCACATGTCTGTTACAAAATAGATGTGGCTGCTTCCTAAAGAAAAACATCCTTTTTTTTTTAATTTTAAATTGAAAGGCTGGCCCTTCAGCTGTATGAAGACTCTGGCAACTCCCTGGCCTCACTGGATCCTGACACTCTGAGGCGCGAGGGAGGAATCTTCCAGCCCCAGTAGGACTCCCAGCTTTTGTTTTAGATCCAGTAGAAACCTCTCAATTAAACTTCAACCACTGGCTCAGGAATGTGCACAGTACCCTGAACAGCGGGGAACTCCCACAGACGGGGTTCTGAGGGCAGGGCTGATGCCCCGGGAGGCTGGTCCAGCCTCACAACCGGTTGGAGCTGTCACCTATGCAGTTCGATGGTATTTGTTCGGCCAATCAAGTAGCATATCCTCTTTGAGGAGAGCACCCCTCCGTACCTGGTTGAGGACAGGGATGCAGCTGGATGCGGTTTTACCTTGAAGGGCCGTTCTGGCAGCAGCAGGCCCGCTTTAGAAGCTGTCACCCTCCCCGCTGCTCAGGCCACAGTTGTCTTCTGGTGGCAACTTCTCTCCCGGACTTGCCTTCAGTTTGATGATCCAACCCAATGCCGACGCGCAGGTGTCTGCAGCGTGAAGCTCGGGACGCTGCTCAGAGCTTCCGACGGGGCAGAGGAAGGAGGGCAGCAGAGGGATGGCCCGGCTGCCCTGCCTGGCGGGTCTACCTGTGGCTCCGTTAGCACTTGCGGAGGGCTCTGGGCTCTGCCTGCACCTCTCCTGGGGTGGAGAGTGCCTTCTCTCCCAAAGCAGGCTTTCCATTCCGGACTGTGTTGGGGACAGAGTGTCCACACACTGCGTTGAAATGTGTTTCCACAGCTCCCACTGCTTCTTAACTTCCTGAGTCACAGACGCCACCAGGAATTCGGCAGAAGCCACAGGCACTCTTGCCCAGAAAACAGACAGTACACACAACACACAACGTCACAGGAATGACCGCTGAGCAAGGTGAACTCGCATGAGTCCCTTCGGCACTGGGCCTGTAGGATTCAGATTCAATCCACTCCTCCTGTGGGGTGGTGTTCCACAAGCAAGGCCCACGGGGGCCACGTCTTCCTGCGGCCACGTCCCTCTCTCACTTATCAGACATCGCTGGCGTGGGTTTGGTGCTCGAGGTAAGCCAAGAGTTGAGAGGAGTGAACAACCCTGGCCTCACACAGGTCCCCCGGGGATGGACTCCATCTGTCACTCCCAAGTGTCCTGCTTCTAACAGGACGACACGGCCCAACCTCGAACCCAAGAAAGAACACCACACGCCACCATTTTCCTAAAGGTCGTTTTATTGTAAAACCATAAATACAACACTGACATGAAATCATTTAAGCAACTGATCGTCTCTAACCATTAAAAGGATGTCTTTTTGCCTTGGCATCAACCAACCAGGAAATAATGTTGCAAGAATTCAGGGGGGAAGGGGTGCTGAATTCTGGGCTGGGGTTTTTGGTGATTTAAGGAACCAAGTGGAACCTTCCTCTTCTCCCTGGGAATGTCCCACTTTTGGACAAGAATAGACAGGTTAAAAACAGCAACATTTAAACAGCTGAGTTTTAAATTTTATTACTCTGTAAAAACCTTTTTTTTTTTTCTGTTCCTTTCCTCCATTTGACATCATTAAAAGTTTTAAACATCACAAAACTGATTTGGCTGTAAATGGAGAAACGGCACCAAAACAAAGTAAAACGAAAAACCCAAAGGACAAACAGAAAACCCTAAATAAACCCTCAAGTTTGGTCTCGGGGGTTTTACGTATCACAAGAACCGTCAACTCAACCCCCATGCAATGTGACTCCTTGGAGAGCTGTTGGATCCACACCAACGACACAGGAGACTGCAAACAACGTCTTTTGTTAATTAACACAGCAAGGGTGACACTAGGTAACTTTTTTTTTTAAATACAGTACATGGTACACAGGGTCCCAAGATAACCCTGCATAAACCCCTTGTGGAGACTTAGCCAAGCACTGGCTGTTTATAAAAATATTGTGTTGCTACAAAAGTATAAATTAATGCTACCGGTATTAAGAAATATTAAACACATAAAACTTATAAGGATTAAGAAAAATATTCATTAATACCTGTAGAAAACTCTGGCCTAAAAAAGATATTTTTTTGTGTTTTTTTGTAAATTTTTTTTTGTATTTTTTTAAAGATGACTTGAGTTTCTTGCACTCGAAGAGAGAGACACAGTCAGATGTGCCCATGGTATTGCCTAGAATGTCTTAACTACTGAGAAAGGGCGGGGTGCACACACGTGGTTACTGAGTGGGGCCTGGGAGGGAGGGGGCACCAAGGCTTTCTCAAGATTTACCTGATGTGAAAGAATCACCGACGTGAAGTTGCAGGGAGAAGAAAAAGGTGGGATCGTCAGAGAACAACTGAAAATAATTTATGCTTTTTAAAAAATATCTCTGCTTCAGGTGGTTGTACAAAATGATGCTCGGGACCTGAATGGTCCCAGACGCGCTGCCCAGCGGGTCTGGCCGCCTCCAGCCCCGCAGGTCCCGCTCTCTCCTGGCTGGCGAGTCCCAGCCCCGTGCCAGTCCATGAGCTCGCTCACCGCTTTGGAGCCCAGCCACCCTGGCTGGGAGGGAGGGAAGGGTCCCAGGCGGGGACCGGCTGGCACCTGGGTTGTGGGAGGAGCCCCCCCTTCTGGCTGGTCTCAGACCCAGCGGGTCTCTGCCAACCTGGACTTCAGGAAGCGCCACAGGGATCCCAGGCACCTGAGGTTGCAGACAAGGCTGGGCGGTGCCCCTTTAAGGAACTTTGGTTCGAAGAGTCAAGGTGCCTGGTGGGACACGTGGGTGGGGAGGACCCCCGGGGGACCTTATGCTGACACCTGACTGCAAACCTAGCAAATCCTTCTCTGTACAGGAGGTGAATCTTTACAGCGGCGCCCATGGTGGTGGTGGTGGTGGGGGGGACGAGAATACAACAGACAGCAACCGGACGCCTTCACCCTCATCCAAGCGGGAGCAAGGTGCCTCTTCGCACAGAAACCACAGGGCCCCTCCCTTCAGGGAAAGGCCGGGCTCCACATGATCCTCAAACCCAAAGGAGAGAGGAAGAGAAACACCCAACGACAGCAACAAAATCCTCCAGAGAACCCTGAAAAGGGCAAACCGGGAGGGAAACATAAGAGGGAAAAAACACTGTATCATTGGTTCACCATAACTGGCCTAGCAAACATTAGCCACAGTGAAGAGGGGGCAGGCCCCTTCCCAGTTCTCCCACTGGCCCAGCTGGATACAGGGGCTGGGGCGGGGCTGGCAGGGCTGAGGCAGGAGCCCCCCCACCACTGTCTCCAGGGGACAGCCTGAGCCTTACTTCGCCTCTCGCTCCCATCTAACCCATCAGCTTTTCCAGAAGCCCTCCCTCAGGTATATCCCAGGGACAGGGGCGCTGTCGCTGTTCCTAACACAAGGGCAGAGCTATGAACTCGCCCCAGCTCCCTGGGGCGGGAGGAGGCTGCCGGCCGTGTCCCGGGCACCTCCTCTTCCCGTCTCTACAAGCACATTCGTCGTGATGACGATATCCAGCTACTGTCCCCTCCTGGGCCATTTCTCACAGGACCTCCCTCCTCTACCCACACCCCAGCTTCATTCCAAACCTTTCTCGTGAACCTGGGGCCCCTGTGAGTGTGCGCTGCATCGCCGACAGCTCTTCAGGCGCCCGCTTTCCAAGGAGTCTAGTCCAAGTCCAGGGGCAAGCCCAGGGGACCCCTAAAGGCAGAGGTTCAGCTTCACAGTGGAAAACACGCCTTGCAGAGTTTTTCTCAGGTGTTTGTTGAAAGTGCAGGAGACAAAGGAGCAAACCGAAGGACAGGACACTCACCAGCCCACCAGCTGAGCTGGTGTCAAAGTCCTTCCTACAAACCTGGAGACCCAGAACTTCTCAACTGTGTCATCGGACTGTCCTCTCCTCACCAAGAAACCACAGCACCATTTTCCCAGCCAAGAGCCAATCCCCGAATGCCAGGCGTGAGGCTGTCAGGCAGGCTGGTGGCAAAGCATCCTTGCTGGTGGACGCAGCAGGTGGCTTTCTGCTGGGATGGCACTGCTGCTCTTGGTGGAGCTGAGACCCCCAGTTACCCCAAACCTGAAGGACCGCCCACAAGGCTGTGGTCCTTGGCTTGGGCTCTGGTGGTGAAGCCAACTGACCTCAGATGACGGGGAAGACTCCGCAGAGTGGAGGTGTTTTCTCTGCCTCCCCTCTGGCATCTCTGTATGTCAGCACAAAGTCCAGTTCTGTCCTGGGAATCACGTGGTTTAGACAAGTTGGGTCCAAGTCCGCAGGCAACCACCTTGAGCTGTGAGGTCCTATAGCGGTCACAGAGCTGGGAGGCAGAAGACAAAATCCTTCTGAAGGTCAATGCCAGGTTGGGTGTTGGGAAATGAACTGGAAGAGGCGACCTCAATCCTTTGGCTGAGCTAGAATTTGGATAAGGTGGATATTGCTGGAGATAAGGGGCCAGTGGCTGGACCTGTGAGATCTTTGGGTTTTATTAAGCTGTTCATCACAGCAGGATTTGCCCTATGGGAACCGCCCACATGAGAAAGCAGAGGGGGCACCTTGGTACAGCCTTTCTTGTTGGCGAAGACAGTTTCTGAAGAACCAGAGGCTGCAAGAGAGAAATGACTTCCTGCCACCTTATTCCCATACCCGGATGAGGCAGCCGCGGGAGACAGCTTTCAGAGTACCTAGCAGCACTCACATCAAACCTGCAGAGCGAGCCAAGTGCTAAGGACTGAACTGAGGTGGGAAAAAAGAACAGACAGAACAGGAGGTGACACATATGACTAGATACCTGGAATTCAGTACAATGTACTCGAAATTTCATGCTGCGGGGACAGACATCCCACGTTCCAAAGAAGAACACATATCTGGGCTTGGTCCCGACAGCCTTGCGAGAAAGTGAAATGCCTGTTTTCTAAGCAAGTAGCCCAATAATGGGGCAACACCAGTACAGCTCTGCTCTCAGGAGGAGGACGGGCTCCCACGGACCACATGATATGGGCAGCTTTCATCCTCCTTGTGTGGATCAAAGTGCCAGGATGAGGACTCTTCCCCGGCAGCAAAGCAGAGCTGGAGGCCTTTTGCTGTAGGCATGTCACCGTCAGCAGCCTGGCAACCACCTTCTGGAATGCCCCCAAAGGTCTCATCAAAGTTTGCTGACGCTCCCATAGTCTCTAGGACATTAGGTGACTGTCCAGTGCAGATCGAAGGTCTTCTGACGGCGTGACCCCAGTTGGAAGTGCTGTGGAATTAACACCTGTGAACTTCTCTGGGAGAGGAAATGGCATGGTGCTTCCTGAGACCATGGCTTGCTGGAGTGAATGTGGAAATGGCCCACTTTGATGCATTTCAATGTGTCCAAGACTCAGGTTAGCTCTCATGAGGCAAAGCGAGCATGCTTGGCACCTGGGACAGTGTTCTGGTCCACGATCCTAAGCCTTGAGTTTTTAAGTCAACTTTACTTCTCCAACTTAACTGTCACAGACTGGGAAGAGAGGGCTGTTGTACAGTGCTTTTTGTAGTCGAGGTATCTCGCAGTTGAATAATGCTTTATTACTAGGAAGGGATGGAGAGGACTTAAGTCAACCCCCAGGATGGTATAATGTGCCTTTGCAAACAGCCTCCCACGATGATGGTCATCCTCAGCCTGAAGCCCTTGGTGTAACCACCTCTATCCCACGGTCACAGGCAGCGGGGGACGGGGGGGATGTGGGACCACCAGCACTCTCTTCGCTGAGAGGTGGGGTGGGAAGTTGAGCACTGATCCTGACGGAACCACCTCTGGTGAGGGGAAAGGGTCACCCTGTCGGCATCTGGGCTGAGTGTGTAGAACTTTAAACTGCTCGTGGAGAGAAAAGCCTAGAAACATCTTTCACAGCGTTAAGTTGAATGTGGCCTAATGCCATTCCACCCTCAAAAGATCCGTCATTTGGCCCACAAGGCACCGGGCTCAACTACTGTCCTAGAAGGAGGGCTGAGGCTTGTGTGGGGACCCCCAGGGCTGTGGGCAATGAAACCACGGGAATCCCCGGGGTCCTGGGGAAGGAGCGGAGGCTGTCGGTCTGAGGTGTGATGAATGTGAACGTGGATCAACTCAAGAGTCCCTGCTGAGCTGGAAGGGTCAGTGACATGGCGAGTAGTGTAATGCACTCTGGGTATAGAAATCAAGACATTCGCAGTACCAGACAACAGCGAGCCAGGAGGGCAGTCTTCTGCCTACATTCAGGAGCACTCCCAAGCCACATGTTCCCCTATGGCTTCCACCGAACCCCACATCTGTGAAATCCGTGACTCTGACCCCACTCCTGGTCTCCAAACAGCACAGCCGAGCTCATGGTCTTGGCTGTTCGAATACATGAAAACCGGACTGTCCAGGGAAGGCTAATAAAAACCTTAGGATATTAAATCTACCACTGAGATGAGCTAGTTTACAGTGTGACTTGAGGAACAAAAAGGGCAATCAAAAACCGGAAAAAAAAAACCCTCCAAAACATAAGTTATAGACATTCAGTGCCTCCTAGCAGAGTCTAAATCAAATTTGAAAAAAAAGAAGGTAAAAACTGCTAACATGTTAGGAAAAAAATTATTAAGGAATGGAGACAGTATCCATACTTCTTTGAAAAATGTCTTTTTTTTTCTATCTTATATTAAAAAGCAAAAGGTCAGCTTTATATTCTGAAAGTCTCCTTTCCTGATTTGGGGAGATAGATAGGTGTGTTTCTAAGGCGGCTGCCCTGTGACACCCAAGAGTGTCACGAAGGCAGCAGCTCAATGCCCTGAAGGTGAACGAGAACCAAGTCCAGTGCAGAAGCTGTCCATCTGATGCAGTTTGGAGAATCCATGGCAGGGCAGCTGGGGAGAGGTGGGTGCATTAGGGTCAGGAAGGCCTGGGGAAGGGGATGGAGGGCAAAGGGGGACCATGGGGTGAAGGACAGAGAGCGTCAAGTTACTTCAGATCTCAGCTGCCTGAACGTTTTACAACATCAGCTTTCTACCAATCTGCACACCTGAAAATGGAGTCTTTTAAAGCCCCCTTACTGAGAAAAGGAGGTGAAGCACCTTCCCTCTTTCCCACTCAGCTTTCCTGACACACCCAGTTTAATGCCCACGCGCCCACAAGCAGGCGTGTGTACATGCACCAGGGTAGTATGTGTGCATGCGTGTGTGACACTTCCGCGGCCATGGAGGTGAGCACAGAGCCGCTCATGCCCATGGTGCGCACGCATGGGTGTGCACACACATGCACACACACACTGAAAAAAGCACTTAAGTTTCCAAGGGGGCATTTATAATGAGGTCCACAGTGTTTAGAACTTAAAATTCCTTTTCTTTGTTTGCGACAGTGTTGTGGGGTTTTTCTTCCCTAACGTTCTCTCCTGTTTTTTCCTTTTTCTCTTTTTTTCACCTGGAAGTCTTAAAGCATGTTGGATTTCAGAAACATGAGTTTGTTCATATCTTCTGGGCTGAGCAGTCGCCTCCTTTTGATTAGAAGTGCTTGTTCACACATATTTACACACCCGCTCCTGGCCCCTACGGCCGGAACGGCCAGGAGCCAGAAGGCGAGCTTGGCGAGTTTCGTGTGCTTTTGGGTCACGCACGACCAGTACTGGAAGAGATCAGGGGTGGCCTGGAAGAGGGGCTCCTGCAGGTAATCGTACACTTCGTTCTTCCCAAGCCGGTCGTCCTCCTGAGCTGCGGGGTTCTCGCCGGGGGCAGAGCGGGGCTTCTTGGCGGCAGGCTCAAAGTCGACCTCCTCCGACCAGGACTCCTTGACCTCATTGATGAGCTCGCACACCTTGCCAATGATCTCCTCGTGCTGGTAGGGCGGGACGGGCCGCAGCTTCTGCTGCGGGTCCAGGATCATGGCCACCTTGTGCGCTGGGTGCACCTTGAAGTTCTCCTTGAGCGCCTCCAGGAAGAGGTGGCACAGCTTGCTGACAGTGCCCGCGTCGTTGGCCTTGGCCGTGAACAGCTTCTCCAGCCTGACGTAGGTGGGCAGCACCAGCTGCAGGGTGGGCTGGCTCTCGTTGCTCAGCTCGATGACCGCCTGCTTCACCGGTGTCAGGATGGCGGCCAGGTTGCTGAGCAGGTGCTTGTTGAGGCTCTGGATGAGGTTCATCTTCTTGGCGCGGCTGTAGAACTCGCAGATCTGCTCATAGCGCTCGTGCACCAGCAGCAGCGAGTCCGTGACCGAGTTCCAGCAGGGCGGCGGCGAGGTCTCCTCCAGCGAGCCGAAGGTCTCCTTGGCGAGGCCGGTGGAGCCCGCCAGGTCCTCACACACGTTGAGCAGCTCGATGACCTCGTGCATGCTGCGGGCCTGCAGCGTCCGCTTGCTCAGCACGCTCTGTACCACCGAGTTCAAGGCACAGGCTGAGCAGCGAAGGCACATGCCGGCCTTGGAAAAGGCGGATGCGCTCACCCGACAGTCCGTCACGTACACTGTCCTGATCTCTGACATCACGAACTCCGACAGCACGTTCTGCACCCAGTGGTGCACCAGGTCGCCACTGTCGCGAATGTCCGCGCCCTTCACGCCCAGCACGTAGCTCTTGATGTGGTTGCCCTCCGCCTGGTAGGCTGTGAGGATGTAGCAGGAGTCCGGGCCAACGCTCTGTGAGTGGCAGGTGACGCCGATGCCCAGGCAGGCGTTGCTGCCCAAGGCGCACGTCACCTTCACCTTCACCTGGTTGTACATGCGCGGCAGGTGCTTCAGCGCCAGCGTGTTGAAATTGCCCAGGATCTCGGTGACCGAGAAGGCCCCGTAGCGGGCGCCACTGTCCACCAGCGTCTGGGCCAGCTTCAGGAACTCCTTCCCGCTCACCACGCTCAGAGCACCCAGGTCGGCGCACATGACCCGCAGGAGCCGCTCCGCGATGTTCTGCCGCTCCTTCTCCGGGATCATGCTGTTGGGTGTTAAACCACTACTGGTGGCTGGTGGGGGACACGAAGAGAGGTGTGATTAATGCTGGCATTCAGGGCTCCTTGGTCTGGCAGCAGCCTAATACTCAAAGCATCTAGTATTAGGAATTATGAATCAATTTAATCTTGCACACAAATTGGTGGTGCTGGCCATCTTTAACATGTGACAGT